AATCAAAAAGTTGAAAATAAAGTATCGGGTAGGGTTAGGGTAGGTGTAGGGAGGGCTTTTGTCCCAATAGTGGCATCCATTTAATAATTTGAATTAAAATTAAAATTTACACTCAATAAGTTATTATTGCATACTGTTTTATAATGTATTACAATGCTGAGGTGCAGATAATTGCCACTATTTGCAATAAGGAATTAGCAGAATACCCTGCTATTTTAACATAGTGGCTATAAATATAATATATAGCTATTTGCACTTAGTGTAAATAGCATATGGATATCACTAAAAAATACTGCTATTTTCACTAATTGTAAATACTATCGCTAATATTGCTAATATTGATTGATTGAATGTGGCAAGGCCTGTGAAAATTTTGCCAGGGCAAGTAAAAAATTTATACCACTGGCCAAAACGGGGCCAGTAGAAAATTTCCTTAGCATTGAGACCTGTCAATACGATAAACATCAGTATCATAACACTTGTACACAGATCTGTAGAACACGTAGGTTACATAATGATATGTGTGAAAGCAGAAATGCATGTATGTGTAAGGAGAATGTATGTGTGTGAGAGAGAGAGTAGAAATGTTTGTACAGGTGCATCTCAATAAATTAGAATGTCGTGGAAAAGTTCATTTATTTCAGTAATTCGTATGTGAATGGAGAATGTAAGTGTGTGACAGTAGAAATGCATGTGTGTTAGGGTACAAATGCATGTATGTGAAAGGAGAATGTAAGTGTGTGAGAGTACAAATGTATGCATGTGAAAGGAGAATGTAAGTGTGTGAGAGTGCCAGAATGAATTATGGCTTGTACGGCCCCCCATACAGTTTCCAAGGCAGCATTTAATGTAACTGAAAATTTATTTATGTATATATATAAATATATAAATACATTTTCAGTTAAATTAAAGGCTGTCTTGGAAACTGAAATAAAATAAGTACTAAAATTACTACAATTGATTTAAAAAGAAATTAAAGCTAAAAAGAAATATTTAAAAAATTGCTTGTTATTCTTGCAAAACTGTCAGGATCAATGCTGTCATTGTTATCTAAATCTCAAGCTTTTAAAAATGTGGGCATCTTTATTTCATTTAACAAAAACAAAGTTTAAATCTTAGATGGAAAACGTACAACAAACTTTAACAAAAATGAGAAATGTTGCTTTGGCAGCTAAGTGAAATAAAATAAGTTCACTAAATCTTAATTGAACTGAATTAAAAAATAAATTAAAGTTAAAAAGAAATATATAAAAATCCAAAACTAATAAAAATGACAAAAGCACAAAACAAAATTACTAAAACTTGATAATGATATATAAATAATAGCGATAGAATCAACATTCTATCATAAAGAACATGGAATTTTTTTAAATATTTTTTTCCTGTCACACGGTGATACACTTAAAAAAAAAAATGATATGCTTAAATACTCGTAATAGCATTTTTGGCAGCATAACTGCTAGAGGTCTGCACGGGCAAGTGAAGCCCGAACCCGGCCCGTACCCAAGATCGTCTGACCCGCCCCGAGCGGCACAGTTAAATTTAGAGCCCGAATCCGAAATCTTTTTTGTTTTTTTTCACAACGAATAGCCAATTAAAAAAAATGCTGTATTTCACAATTCCGTGCAACGGTCAGTAAGCAAATACATGTACAGAAACAGAATCATTAAGGCTCGGCCAGTTCACAAGGCAAAATAAAAAACACTTACCAGTTATGAAAATTTATGAACATCAGGTGCAGCGGTCACATAAATTCTGCCGAGTTTTTGAATGGTTGTATACGACAAGACGATAATTCTTCCATCGTGCAAATTATGGTCATTTTCGTCAGTTAAGGCTCGTTAGCATTCGGCCTGCTTTAAATCAGACACAGAGATGCAGTGCAGTAAGATCGCATTTATTTGAATTAATTAGGCTAATTATATAATTTATTTGAATTAGCGCGCGCGCGAGAGAGAGAGAGATGAAAGTTGCGTGTGTGAACCTGCGTCTGCGCGCCTCTCTACAAGCAATGAGGCTTAGTTCCTTCAAAAACAGCGATTGTACCCCCTCATTGCAGAGAAATATAACGTTGCGAGTCAGTAGCCTGTCTAAGCTATTTTACTAATAAAAGTTTCCGTGCTGTGTTGTCGTGTGCACTAATGTGTGTGCGTGCGTCTATGAAAGCAGCGTAGCCTGCATATAGTTTTAGTTTAGCTATAAACCCGAGCCCGACCCAAACCCGAAGCTATTCATTAAACAATAATTCTTCCATCGTGCAAATTATGGTCATTTTCGTCAGTTAAGGCTCGTTAGCATTCGGCCTGCTTTAAATCAGACACAGAGATGCAGTGCGGTAAGATCGCATTTATTTGAATGAATTAGGCTAATTATATCATTTATTTGAATTAGCGCCCGCACGAGAGAGAGAGATGTAAGTTGCGTGTGTGAACCTGCGTCTGCGCGTCTCTCTCTACAAGCAACGAGGCTTAGTTCCTTCAGAAACAGCGATTAATTGCAGAGAAATATAACGTTACGAGTCAGTAGCCTGTCGAAGCTATTTTACTAATAAAAGTTACTGTGCTGTGTTGTCGTGTGCAATAATGTGTGTGCGTGCGTCTATGAAAGCAGCATAGACTGCATATAGTTTTAGTTTAGCTATAAACCCTAGCCCGACCCGAAACCGAAGCTATTCATTAAACATTAACCCGAACCCAACCCGAAAGTATTTCGGAACCCGTCAGGCTCGGGCCGGGTAGCAGACCTCTAATAACTGCTTGAGTTGTTTAAGTTGAACCATTTTTATTCTTTTGCACACTTTCCATTTATCATTGACGAGACGTATCCAGGTTTTGTAGTACTGTAGTACTTTGTGGAGTCATTTTTAATCTGTCTGAACAAAACAATATTTGTTAACATGTGTCTGATTGTTTCTTGCTCAGGGGCAGGAGGCAGTAGGGGGAGGCGACAGCACGAGTGAGGTGTCCGTCTCCTGCTCCTCCACAGACGAGCATCCCAGCTCCTCGGCCGAGAGCTCAGAGGAGGTGCGGGACAGAGGGGAGGCGGAAGACGAGGCCAAAGACAGCTTAACGGAGGTGCCGCTGCCCACCTCTCTCTTCCGCTCCACCGTACGCTCGCTCTCTCCCTTCCGCAGACACAGCTGGGGTCCTGGGAAGAACCAGGGAGGGAAAGAAGAGATGAACCAGCGCAGGTATCTGAGATCATGGTTCTTATTAGGACCATTCATATTTTCTGCTTTGTGAAAAATACATTATTTAAAATAAAAGATTATTTAAAGGGGTCATATGATGCGATTTCAGTTTTCCTTTCTCTTTGGAGTGTTACAAGCTGTTCGTGAATAATAAATATACACCGTACACACATATATTATGTAAACAAAAACTTTATTTTGGATGCCATTAATCGCGATGGATTTATATATTTATATATAAATGTATATACATGTAAATATTTGTTAAAATGTATACTCTGTGTGTGTATTTATATATATATATAATAAATATACACAGTACACACATATATTATGTAAACAAAAACTTTATTTTGGATGCGATTAATCGTTTGACAGCACTAGTTTAAACATCATAGTAGTATTTATTGTACTGGCTTTAATTAATAATGATAACAATATATTATAAGATAGTTCTTAATAAAAATATTATGTCTTTTTATTGAGGTGTGCTTAGTTGTCATAATGTTGCAATGCAAGACGTCTTAATGGTACTAACATAGGATAGACAGACAGACTACAATTCAAAGTTTTGGGGTCGGTGAGATTTTTTTATTCATTTTTTTTTTTATGCGTTTGTAAAAAGTCTCTTATGCTCACCGAGGCTGTATTTATTTGTTTTAAAAATACAGCAAAAAGCAGTAAAATTGTGAAATATTATTTTAGTTTGAAATTTTTCAATTTTAATATATTTTAAAATGTAATTTATTTCTGTGATGGAAATGCTGACTTTTTACTCTTCAGTGTCACATGATCCTTCAGAAATCATTCTAATATGCTGATTTGCTGCTCAAGAAATATTTTCATTTATAATTATAAATTTTGAAATGGATGTGTAGATTAATATTTTTGTGGAAATGTGATAACGTTTTTTTTTTTCATAAATCGAAAATTCAAAAGAGCAGCATTTATTTGAAATGGAAATCTTTTAGCATTATAAATGTCTTCTGATCATTTGAATGCATTCTTGCTGAATAGAAGTATTCATTTATTTAGACAAAATTCCTGACCCCAAAACTTTTGAATGGTAGTGTAAATGTATATGTGTGTAAATAAGTAAAGTGTTACCAAATCTTTTTAAATAAGGGGTTTGTAATCCATTTGTAAGTGCTACAGCAATATAGTAAATGAATCTGATGGAAATGTACATCTTATTACAGACGACTGCCCAAAATGTATTTGGGCTTTCAGGTTTTGAGGCACTGAATTCACACTCTCTCAGTACACACTGAATGCTAATGCATTAGCACCTTAAACACAACACACCAAAACATGCCTTGCTCTGAGAATGACGCCGCGCACACTTCTCCATCATGTGACACCCTCATGCCTTTGCATGCTTTTGCAGTCATTCTCACCTCGTTCTTCCCTCTGTTACTCATTTGCATTCACTCTTTTTTTGAGAAGCAATTCCATACTTTACTAGTTTCACTTTTACCTTTCAGAGACTCTTATTATAGTCATAGTAGTTTATTTCCATGTCATCTCACTGCTCTCATCATCTTTCCATTTCCAGTTCTGTACGAAATACAGGAGAGGAAAAGCCTGTGTTTTACCGAAGAAGGTATCCTGTTTTCTTTTATATTCTTGAGTATTTTGAAATGTCCATTAATATCTGAAATCCTTATAGAGCACAACAGTGATTCCCATTTCCATGCATTGCATAAATCACAGTACTGAGAATTTGGCAGTTAAAACACAATGTTTTGTTCTGTTTAAAAACTAAATGTGTGTTAAAATAAATAAATATTTGCCAGAAGTAATAAAGCTATTCATTTTCTCCATACTTTTGCCCTATAGTTAAGTAACCCAGTACTTATTAATTTTTTTATTTAAATCGTTGTTAAAACGTTATTAAAATGTTTATTTTATCTATCTATCTATCTATCTATCTATCTATCTATCTATCTATCTATCTATCTGTCTATCTGTCTGTCTTAATGTATAAACATTACATATTTTTCTTAAATATGTACATGCATGTGTTTGTATTTATATATACATAATTAATGTACACACTATACACATATATTATGTAAACAAACACTTTTATTTTGGATGCGATTAATCGCGATTAATCATTTCACAGCACATATATATATATATATATATATATGAATAGGATTTTAACTTCTGGAACCCTACTGTTGTGCTCTATTTGAGTGTAATAATCTGTTCAGTATCTTTCAACAAACTATTCACTGAATAAATGCTAATTTTTCCATTCTACTACCCCTCTAACTGGTTTGTGCCCATTGGTGCCCCCTTTTTTTGGTCAGTTTGAGCTGGTGCCCCAGTGAACCCTGTCGAGAGCTGGAAGAAATTAGAGAGCTCATCAGGTACTGTGTTGTGTGCAAGCTTCCTGTAAATCCAACCGGAGAGCCAACCCCTCTGACTAGCACAAAGAGCTTTTGCATCATCATTTGCATTACCTGTTTGCCAGAGCAAAGTGAAGCGTTTGTTTAGGCCTTATTCTGTGCTGCTTCAGTCAGCCTCGGTAAAGCTTAGAGAAATTATGGCTTTTAAAAGTTAGATATGTTGCTGCCGAGATACTTAGAGGAGCTGCTTATTGCTGTATAGATTTTTGGTGTAGTTTTTTGTTGTTGTTGTTGTCGTTACATGATGACTAATATTGTTGTTCTCGTAACCGGTCCGAATGTCAGGTAAGAGGATGTTTGTAACAAACCTGCTTCAGATTGTTGCACTGAAATGTAAAATAGTATTTAATATGACTGATTTGACATGACTACAGTAGGTTACAGCATTTAAAGTCATTTTTGAATCTCAGATCAGTAAGAAATAATCAGCATTTTCACTTGTGTACAGTGTAGTGTATTCAATTTTTATTTATTTAGCGGTTAAAAATATTTGTGATCTTATTTCCAGATTTGGAAAAATTCTAGCAACAATATATATATATATATATATATATTGTTGCTAGAATTTTTCCAAATCTGGAAATAAGATCACAAATATTTTTAACCGCTAAATAAATAAAAATTGAATACACTACACTGTACACAAGTGAAAATGCTGATTATTTCTTACTGATCTGAGATTCAAAAATGACTTTAAATGCTGTAACCTACTGTAGTCATGTCAAATCAGTCATATTAAATACTATTTTACATTTCAGTGCAACAATCTGAAGCAGGTTTGTTACAAACATCCTCTTACCTGACATTCGGACCGGTTACGAGAACAACAATATTAGTCATCATGTAACGACAACAACAACAACAAAAAACTACACCAAAAATCTATACAGCAATAAGCAGCTCCTCTAAGTATCTCGGCAGCAACATATCTAACTTTTAAAAGCCATAATTTCTCTAAGCTTTACCGAGGCTGACTGAAGCAGCACAGAATAAGGCCTAAACAAACGCTTCACTTTGCTCTGGCAAACAGGTAATGCAAATGATGATGCAAAAGCTCTTTGTGCTAGTCAGAGGGGTTGGCTCTCCGGTTGGATTTACAGGAAGCTTGCACACAACGCAGTCATACACTCGCAGTACCTGATGAGCTCTCTAATTTCTTCCAGCTCTCGACAGGGTTCACTGGGGCACCAGCTCAAACTGACCAAAAAAAGGGGGCACCAATGGGCACAAACCAGTTAGAGGGGTAGTAGAATGGAAAAATTAGCATTTATTCAGTGAATAGTTTGTTGAAAGATACTGAACAGATTATTACACTCAAATAGAGCACAACAGTAGGGTTCCAGAAGTTAAAATCCTATTCATATATATATATATATATATAATATTCTTAGAGTGTGGGTTTGTTTTTTATTTCTCTTAGATAAGTGAGTTTTTTTTATTTATTTTGAGGTTTGAATGTGGAATACATGCTCACGTATATATTAGCATCCCAAAACACTTCTCAGTTTGCCTTGGTTTGCTATTGTGCTGTTCGCTGTGCTGCTTTGAGCTTGTGTTTTGTATATAGCATTGCTTCTAAGATAAGGTCTTGGTGTCTTGTACTAACAGCAGCCATTCTGTTGGTGAAATTCACTATTTTCAAATACTAGACTTTAAAGAAATAGCCCAAACCTGTTAGCTTTGCATAGTCTCAAACCACCCAACTACATTTTGATACTGCACTTTTAGTACTTTTTGATGACTTCCCAAGAAGTTTTTTAATTTTATTTCAGTATTTAAGTAGCTGCACAAGTAGTTATTTTCTAAAAGTTATTTTATTGTATAATAAATAAGTTGTAATGCATTTTTAGTGTGGATACATCTGTGTTGGGTGGAGTGCAATATGAACATCCGCTTTGCATATTTTGCATCTGGTTGGTCAGTAGTACACCGCACACAGACACATGTGTATGCCTTTTTGGGTGAAAAAGAAACCATGTAAACAACATATTTATTTTGAAGTGATTTAAAAAATAGTGAGGGACAGATACACGGTCAATGCTGCAGGTTGTGTGAACGTCCAGAGTTCTCCAGATAGTTTTGGAAATATTAGAAATGATGATCAACAAGTACAAAACAGTATGTACTGCTGCACAGCTTTGCTTTTATTTGTCACTTTAAAAAAGACGGCTTTCAAAGTTGTTTCTTTCTTTCTTTTATTTTGTTTTTATACACTATTTTTAATAATTAATTTTATTTTAATTTATTTAGTCATTTATTTGTTAATTTATTTATAATAATTTTATTATTTATATTATTTTTTATATTTCTTTATAATTTCTTTTCTTTTGTTTTTTAATTTAATTTATTTATTTTTACATCATTTATTTTTCTTTTCTTTTTTTCTTAGCATAACTGAGCTCTTTTGTGATGTGTTCTGTTGTAGTTATAGTTTGGAGGGTCTAGCAGCAGGGATTGAGGATGGCAAACACTGGATACCACAGTCCGGAGATCCATTCCAGGATCTGCGAGGGGTTCAGAGGCAGGAGAGTGAGGAGAGGGGCTCACTGATGTCTCTCACAGAAGAAGGTCCCGAGTCTGATTTGGGAGAATGCAGCAGTCCAGGTGGACAGGTAAGACCAGAGTCTCCGAACTGTGACATTTGGGTTAAAATACACAAACCGTTTGAAAGGGTTCTTGAAGCCAACATAAAAAACAACCTGAGCAAAAAACAATGCATAATTCTTAGCGCTCAGTTTTCCTGAAAGCACTTTAGGTGGAAAAAGTAGAGTGTGCAGTATGTTTCCGTGTACTTAACTTAAGCACTGAGCATCTGAGTTTGTGATTTCAGAAACCGAGGAAGTACCATCAGTTCAGACACAGCGGTCCATCTGTGACTCTCCCCCTCACAAAATCAGTCTCTATGCTTTCCATCAGCCAACGGGACATAGATGGTAAGTAAAGCTGCTTTATTTCCAGTTTCTGGCTTCTGTAGATTGATTATATAACAGATTCTGTGCTAGAAACATCTTTTTCTCTCAGAATACCAGATTTTTCGTATGAATTCTTTGTTTCAGAGGTTGTACAAGTACAGGTGGTACCAGTATAACATAATTTGTTTTCCTCATCTGGTTTGTGTTAGTCGTCCTCCACCCATTTCTCAGGCCCTAAATCATCTGGTTTAATAAGTACTTGCTCTGACTTTTCCATCCCCGATGCGGCCGCCCTGCGATAGGAAGGATTCGGCGAAAGAGGCAGATCTCTTTTACCTTCAACCTCTCACCGCTCCTCCCCAAATCTAAAACTGTCTTTACTGTCAGCTCTTCATCTAGTGATGAGGAGGACATCATAAGTAAGTTGCAGTAGGATCTTCAGGATAATAGCATCCTCAGCATAGTAACCTCCAGCATCTCGTCCCTAGATGATGTCCTGTGACTCACAGCACAGTAGATGTAGAGAGAGATGAAATATGCTAGCCACCTTTGAAACCTGTCCCTCATATAGACCAACACATGTTCTGGAACAGTTTTCAACTGTGTTTTTGGGTTACTAAGCCACATATTTAGAAATAAGGAATAATGGAAATCCAGCATAGCTTTCAAAATGTCTTATTGAAACTTGGTGTTTCATATTATATCAAATTTAATAATATATATCATTTTTCAAATTTATTTCCCCTTAGTTAATAAATTAAAAAATGTCAGTCTTTTCCTCCATATAATAAAAGTGTTATTTTATGTATAAAATTTCAGCAAACATAAATATGCGATCAAAACAAATTTTTAGTTTCGGCTGAAATTATTGACTATATAGCATTTCTTCATTGACGCATTTTGATTGTAACGGCGTCTGTTTCATGTACACAGCTTGGATACGCTACAACATGTAAACATGTCAGCTGTGTAGACGCATTTTTACAAGATCAAAAATAATGCTAGATGTGCAATAGGTACAATTTGTTCAGCTGAAATATTGAGAGGCTGGTTTAATTTATCACTTAATGAGAACATGACACCCTGAAAAACATTCTGAGTTAATTTACCTAATTACCCAAATTTAATGACCAACATTGTATTTTTAGTTTCCGTTTTCATGAAAACATTCATTTCAGTTTTGGTAAAAAAAAAAATAATTTTGGTGCATCACTAAACGTACTGTATAGCTTCAGAAGATGTCTATGAATTACTTTTATGGTACTTAAGGCTGGGTGATACATCGAATAAAAAAAATAATAATTTTGGTGCATCACTAAACGTACTGTATAGCTTCAGAAGATATCTATGAATTACTTTTATGGTACTTAAGGCTGGGTGATACATCGAATATTAGCCATATTATCACAATATCTTTGCGGACTATATAAAATTAGGGAAAATTGTGTAACGTTGTACTTTTTAACAGTAGCTGTTCTATCGAGATCATGTCTTATCATGGAGGGCAAAAAATTACCCTTTTAAATTTTTGAGAGGCAAAGTAAAAATATCAATATACACAGTATAAATATTGTCAAAATATTGAGAGATAGATTTTTAGCTATGTCACCCAGCTCTGATGGGACTTGTTTTTGGAGTTTGAGAGCTATTTTATTTTATTTTATTTTATTACTATTAACTATTACTAATATTAATTGCATTTTAAAATAAATATTTATAATCACATAAAAAATGTATTATTAGAGCAGACAAACCACTCATGTAAATATTTTATTTTATTTTATTACTATTAACTAAACATTTTATTTTATTTTATTTTGGTGAATTTAACTATTTAATACAGCGTCCCCCCCCCATACATGTAACTAAATATGATTTCATGATGTAAATTTAATATGATATAGTTTAAAAAATTCTATAATGATTAAACTGGTTTTGCACATAGTATGTTTATGGCACCACGAGTCATTTTAATCTGGTCAAATTGCTTGACCAAGCACTAACTCTTTTTGCAAAAAGCCGGTTTTGCATGTGTACGTAAATCAGGCTCTACCATGGGGGGATGGAGGCTGTTTGTTGTTGGTGATGCTACTATGACTCCATCATTGTGCTTGTAGGCATGACGTCATTCACCAGTACCACCAGTTCAATGGGATACAGGTAAGACGCCTATTAATATTTTGGCTCATTTCATATTGACATTTCTGGAAACACTGGAAGCACAGTAATTCATGCCTTTATATCTTGTTTTTTTTAGCATCACAGAGGAGGAACCTGGACCTTTAAGAGGAGATTTTGAAAAAAGTACCACCAAAGTGAGCCGGACGTTCTATTATTAATTGCATTTTAAAATAAATATTTATAATCACATAAATTAATTATTAGAGCAGACAAAACCACTCATGCAAACATATTTTATTTTATTTTAAACTATTACTATTATTAATTGCATTTTAAAAGAATTTTTTTTTAGCATCACAGAGGAGGAACCTGGACCTTTAAGAGGAGATTTTGAAAAAAGTACCACCAAAGTGAGCCGGACGTTCAGCTACTTGAAGAGCAAAATGTACAAGAAAGCCAGAGTAAGTCAACTTTTGTGGTCAACTTTTTTTCCAAGTCATTTCCTCTCTACCAAGAATGTAGATTAGATCATCTGTTTTATTCATAATGATGACTGGGTGAGAATTATCACCTTGTCAATCAACGGAAAGACAGGAATTTACTAAAATGAATGAAGAAGTATATTGTGTCAGGTTCTTTCTGAGCACTAGAGGAAATAAGACAGGAAGAGGAGGCACAATAATCTTTCAACCTTTACTGTTAGCTCAGCATTTTACCCTTTTAAAGGGCCAGTACTTTATTTACAAACTGCAGAGACATAATGTGAAGTGGGGCACAAAAGGAATAATTTTTTTGAATAATATTTTAGGCTATTTTACAAATATCATTTCTGAATTGGCCTCCTATTAATACTCTGAACTTCCCAAAATCCATTCAGGACTCTGGTTTCAAGATGTTGTCGGCCTAGTTTCACATGTGTTTTCACATTTTGTACAATGTAAAATGAAACATTAAAATCAATCCCTCTGCATCATACAGGAACTTTGGAGTTAAATACACTTTAAACATTCAGTTTATACCCTGAAAGGCTTCTTAGTGTCTAGAAATGTTTTCATAAGGCCGTTTTTACACCAAAATGTACAGATTTCGTCGTACTGAGAGCAGCAACGACAGTGCAATAAAAAAAAGGAAGTTAGAGTCACAGCACCTCCCAGCTCGAGTTGGATCACTTCCTCCTGAATGTGAGGTGATGCTGAACTTCTTGTCTCGGTCGAGAGTCTTGCAAAGGGTCTGCCTCCTACAGTAATGTTATATAGAAAGTTTTGCGAGGTGCAGGGCCGCTATCAGAGGATAAGGAGCTTGAAGGGAGAAGAGGTAGGCCGAATATCAGACACTGCCTCGATTGAGGAGAGTGATGAATTGCCCTGTTGACTTTTGTTGTGGTTTGTTTTGTGTGTGCTTTTTTTTTTCTCTTCTCACCTCTAGATGTTCACATTTTCCGAAATGGTTAACTCCTTAGTTGCTTAACATTGGTCTCCAGTGTTTATTTGTCATAGTGATTATCTATTTAGTGCATTTCATCCACAACTGACACATCGTTGACGGTGGTGTTTTTGATTTATGGTGCATAATAGAAATTAATATTTCATGTTTAAAATAAGTCAGATGATATTTGTTTCTTTGACTTTTTATTACCAAAAATGGTCGTTTCTATACAGTTGCGTAACTTGGGGCCTGTATTTACAAGTAGGAAGCTGAACTTTGTTACAGGAGAACTTGACAACAATTGAGAGGATGTTTGTGCACGACTCTCTGAATCACAATGAACATGCCCTCAGTTTGAAATGACGTTGCACCTTTTTTCATTTTTTACGATATTGCACAAACAAGCAGGTGTGCCCACTCAGGTCATTTTTTGCATAGCATACTTATTAGCTCCAATCTGGGGTGCTCAAGTCCTGTAAATTTAGTAATGGCAGACAAGCACCTTGTTTTGGAGCATGAAGACAGGGTGGTGCAGTAAATTACTTTGCAGAAATGCCATTAAAGAAAATGACGAGCAATTCAAGTTATTGGGTTTAAACTGACTTGCCAATTACGGTGCTCGGCATATTTGAGCACTAGGTGTTAACGGCTGTCACCTGTTGTAATATTTCTTATACTTCTTCTGGCGCAGGAAAAAGAAAAGGAAAAGAATCGGGAGAAAGACCGAGAGGCCAAAGAGAGAGAGAAGAAATCAGTGAATGGACACGTGTTCAGCACGTCAAGCTCGCTGCATCTAGCTTTGTGCCAGCAATGCAACAAAACCCTCAACACTAAAGATACTGTCAACTGCACAAGTAAGAAGCACTTCATCATTGAGGGTTTCAGTACATGCACACCTGGTATTAACGCCGTTTTTGTTATTTACTCCCTAATACTAGATTTTAGTGGGTATATCCTTTCATCATCTTTATTTAACAGGAAAAATCACAGAATCATGTGCAGGATGTATATATAATAGAAATGATTTTTGCTTATTAGTATGAAAATAGAATACAAAAACATTTTTCAAAGTGAAGGGTGATTTAAAGATTTCAAGATGTATTTCAAAAGACTCATTGCTTAAAAATAGGAAGCAGTTCTGGTAACATCATTCACTTCCTCATGGAGCTGCTGAAGAGAAAATTCTTCAAACAAAGTATTTTTTGTATTGTTTCTGTGCTTTTCCCCCTCTTTGTTTGTTTTATGTTTTAATCGCATATTCATATTTATGTGTATACAATTCCTGTAAGTTCTCATCAAATTTATTTTAGCATCTGTCCATAGCCTTATATCCCAACCAATACATCTATATAAAAATAATAAATAAATAAATTATAAACCGTAAAGGCAATTATTTTAAAGGGGTCCTATGACGCGATTTCTTGTTTTCCTTTCTCTTTGGAGTGTAACAAGCTGTTCGTGAATAGATAAGATCCGTAAAGTCGCAAAGACTAAAGTCTCAAACCCAAAGAGATATTCTTTATAAAAGTTAAGACTTGTCCACACCCTCCTAAAACACCTAGTTTAAACACGCCCCCACATGTCTACGTCACTGTGTGGGAAGATTTGCATAACACTGCCCTAATATATATGCAAAGAAAGGTGTAACTTTTATTCTCGCTGTAGTATTGTTGTCATGGAGATGCTGTGTGCTTCCAAATATGGTAAGGGGCGTAACATTTCCGTCACATGCTTGAGGTATTCGGCCAATCACAACGCACTAGAGCGCTGGCCAATCAGAGCACTCCTCGCTTTTCAGACCGATGAGCTTTGTAAAAATCGACGCATTTCAGAAAAGCGGGGCATAGAGGAGAAACAATAATGTACAGTTTGTGGAAAATAATGTGTTTTTTGAACCTTAAACTGCGTAAACACATTGCATTAAACCAAATACACAAAATAATGTTATTTTTAGCATCGTCATATGACCCCTTTAATTATTTTTTATAATAAGTATGAATACTAAACAAGGAAAATATACTATATAGTTGATTCAGATCATTGTAATTACCGTATTGACCCGAATATAAGACGATGTTTTTTTCTTGGAAATACATCTGAAAAAACGCGGTCGTCTTATATTCAGGGTCTAGACTTTGACATGTCAATAATACACCCACAACAATAGGTGGCGCCAAATACGCATAAAACGAGTGTGCCATGAAATACGTAATGTAATGCGTGTTGTAAAGATCGCGAGTAAAAACAAAGGAAAAAGAAAACAGCTGCATGATTCGTGACTGATGGGACCAAACTCCCTTTGTGATTTTAAAACGTAAGACAGTACCCAGTTTTGAAGACTACAGTAAGATTGAACTTCTACTGTTAATAAGATTTTGGTAGGCTACTATTAGATGGATAGCCTAAATGTCCTAATTCAGATGGGCTACCTGTTTTTTTTTTTTTTTTTATGGTATATCAAAAAGTGTATATTTTTTAAATTTGATTGTTGGTACATTTTACCAGTTTTTACCATACTTTCAAAACAAAAATTAAAATAGGAAAAATATGCAATATGAAAATAATTGAAGACAAAATGTGTTCTACTGAGAAAAAACAAGATTTGGTTTTTAAAAAGCCTTTTTCCAAAAGGTACATCTGGAAAAAGGGGGGTCGTCTTATAATCAGGGTCGTCTTATATTCGGGCCAATACGGTAGTTCTCTTTTGGGTTTGAAAGTGTTGCTGTGTTTATGAAGTATTTTCAGTATTTTCTCCAGGATCCATCTGATGACATGATCAGTGTGGTCAGAGTTTTGATCTTTAGGACAGATGTGTATTTCTTGAGCTTGTTGGCATGTTCGTCGCATTTAAATTGTGTGCTTGGAGCTTCCTGACTGGAAGGAATTCCTAAGCCTACTGTCTTTACCACTTTGACCAAGAGCCAGAATAGCCAACACAATTACTTGCGTTAAACTATATTAAAACCTTGTGTTTGGTCATAGAGGACCTTTCTTTGCAAAGAGAAAAAGCTGTGTTTATGCTTGGGTGGCAAAACTGAAATATAAAGCTCCGTTCACACTACAAGCGACACGCAACAACAAAGCGACACAATCCCATTCATTTCAATGGAGAGCTGGCGATTTCCGGTGACACCGAGCGACAGCGACGCGATGGGGCGTGTCCAGCGATGCGACAGTTCAGAATCCTTCAACTTTATGCAAATGAAGAGCAACTTTCGGGAGCGACAGCCAATAGGAAAGAAGACGGCAGAGCTCATGTGATCGTTCTCCTCTCAGCCGTAGATAAACATACGCAATGGAAAAAAGTAGGCTCTGTTTCTCATTAATTTTTGTTTGTATGTATGGATTTAATTCATATGTATATTATATTTAGGTCATAGAGGACCTTTCTTTACAAAGAGAAAAAGCTGTGTTTATGCTTGGGTGGCAAAACTGAAATATAAAGCTCCGTTCACACTACAAGCGACATGCAACAACAAAGCGACACAATCCCATTCATTTCAATGGAGAGCTGGCGATTTCCGGTGACACCGAGCGCCGCGGACGCGATGGGGCGTGTCCAGCGATGCGACAGTTCAGAATCCTTCAACTTTATGCAAATGAAGAGCAACTTTCGGGAGCGACAGCCAATAGGAAAGAAGACGGTATAGCTCATGTGATCGTTGTCTTCTCAGCGCCGTAGATAAACATACGCAATGGAAGAAAGTAGGCTCTGCTTCCTCTATAGGACCAGCGACTAGTCGACGTCAAGCTTAAAGCGTCATGGCAGAGCATTGAAGTCGATTAGTTGGTGCAACCCCTAGTACTTAGCGGCAAGAAACCTGATTCGCAGTCAAGGCAACCAGTATTGAGAACGCCCACTAGCAACCTCATCGCCAGCCCCTGGTGACATGCAAAAACAGCAAATACAAAATACAAAAGTCGCTGCTAGTGTGAATGCAGCTTAATACTATATGCTTACAGCATCTGGAATGTAGCATCTTTATTAAAGAAGTGAATTGCAAATGAGTACTTTCCTAATGTTTTCTATTGACGTGTTTTTTGCAGATTGCAATGTGAGAGTTCACAAGAGTTGTAGAGAAAACGTCCCGGTTTGTCCCAAAAGCAGAATGAAGGTTTGAGGTTTTTTTTTTATTTTTTTAAATGTACCGTATCCTTTGTTACACATCAAGAAAAGTGTTTGCATTGTGTTCTGTTTCAAATATCTTCCTTTTTTTCTGTTTCATAAACAACAGTTTGCTATACCAGAGTCCACCACTATGCCTGTCGTCACTCTACGAACAAAATGTGGATTTGTTGGCTTTCTTTCTCTTTTTATATTCTTATTTTTTCATGTCAGCTGATCCTAATGTTGCATGTGATTTTGTGTGCAGCATCCACACTGCGGGAACGGCCCTGGTCTGCTATCTTTTCTCCAGAGGAACATTCTGTGATTGTCCCGTCCAGACGACCCACCAGTATTATGCCCTTCCACAGCAGCAACCTCTCGAAAAGCATGTCCATCAACAATATTGCAATGTTAGTGCATAAACACATACACCAACAAGTATTGTCAGGTTTTAATGTTTGTATATATTTTAATATTTATAAGTATTGTCAGGTTTTAATATTTATATATATATATATATATATTAATATTTATGTATTTATTTAATTTGCATTTAATCTTTATATATATATATATAAATTATATATGTTATAGAGAGCCAAAAAAAAAGAAAATGCAACAAAATCACAAGCTAAAATTAAAATGAAAAAATGAAAATATACAACTAAAAATAGATGCAAATTCACAACATGAATAAATACTATAATTGTATATAATAATACTACAGTTCACTGCACAGTATATACTGTTTACTGCTGACTATTTAAAAAAAGATGCATGTGAAACTATACAGTATGCAATGATGAATTAACAATAACATGCACATTACCTCATTATGTTGCATGTTTATAATCAACATGTGTCCAGTTATCATCTTGCCAATTTATGCAGAAATTGTGTGTTTGAATTTAATTTTGTGTTGAAACTTCCTACCTTTTGGAAGTTCAATCAAGTAAGCCACTAAGTAGACAGTTGTAGACATTATAATCCTAATAAAAAGATCAAGTCAAGCTTATTACATTGGTGGGAAACAGTATCTAGCACAATATTGGTGTCCCTAATATTATTCACATTTGGTCAAATATAATAGGTTATATTGGTGTTAAGTGCATATAGACAGTGTTCATACTGTGCAAAGCATGCATACTGCATTCTTAGTAGGAGTAGTGTGGTAGTATTATGCCATTCCCAACATACAAATGAATTGCTGTCTCTTACAAATGAAGATACTGATTCACAGCCAGTGAATCTGTCAGTAGGACACTTGACCTGACTGGCCTTCTGTTATAACCACAGCACCTCAACCTCTTCCTGCAGGTTTGACGATACGCCTCTGAGAAGCAGGCGGTATCTGTCTCAATCCACAGACTCCCTCCACAAACCCAACAAGGTTACAGCGTCCAATGAGTCTCTAGATGAAGGTAAGCAGCCATATTTCTCTCACAAGCTTCAAAGAGCTTTCAAACAAATGAACAAGTAATTAATTGTTTAGTGCATGTATGTGGTGCTCGTCTGGGAGACCTGGTTTTGAATCTGGCCTGTGTTTTGTCATTTTCTTCTTATTTCCTGTCATTCCTCACTTTCGCTATCAGTGAAAAGGCTTTTTAAAGTTTAAAGTTGTGTAAATGTTCCCGTTAATTTTTCTAGTAATGCATGAGTAAACATTTTCTTTGTCGCTAAAGGAACGGAGATGGTTGACAGCCGGCTGATGGGAGACTTTGAAACAGATGTTAAGGAACTGGAGGCTGACTCCTGGAGCCTTACTGTAGATAAGAAATATCTGAAGCAACTCAAGAAGGACGTCATCAAGAGACAAGACATCATCTATGGTAGGACTATGGTAGAATTTAATGCATTTCCATTTGTTTATGTTCAAAAGCATTTGCTGTTTTGTGAGTTTTTATTCACAAACTCTGACTAAATGAATGCAGAATGTGTCCAGGGTAAAGTGTCTGCTAAACAAGGTTATTATAGTTAACTACAACTAAAACAAAAACAAAAACAGAAAAATATAATATATATATAATAAAATTGTTTATGTAATAAAATAAAAAAAGCTAATAAAATGAAACAATTTATTTATTATTTGTTTATATTAATATAAAAGAAAAACTAATTCAACACAAAAAATGTTTTATATTATAGTTAACTACAACTAAAACAAAAACTAAAAATATATAATAATAATAATATAAATAATAATAATAATAATACATGCACACATACACTTTTTTGTGACTTACGAAGGTAAAGTATTTTTGTTTTAAAATATAAAATTGTATTTCACAAAATTTTGTCTGCCAAATGAAAGTCAGTGCGGTGTAACCAACATAATGGAAGCCAAGTTATTGGACTCTTCTAGACCCTCGTGACTGTATTTCAAGATCAGTAAGGTTTTTATTAGTGTCTTTTAATATCAGATATTTTTAACTTTTTAAAATGTGGCAAAGTAGGTTTGGGTTTTGCAACATTTCTCATTTTCATTTAGTTCAACTTGATGTACTAAAATAAAAATTAAAAAAAGCTAATAAAAAGAAACAAAATTGATTTATTATTTATTTATATTAATATAAAATAAAAACTAATTCAACACAAATATTTTTTTTATAAAAATAAAAACGAATTAAAATAAAAATATAATAGTATTTCAATGATACTAAAATAACACTGCTGCTAATTTTTTATTGATTTTTTTTTGGTTGTGAGTGTTGACATTTACATGATAAACATGCATCCAACTTTTACGTGGAAATCTCAAAGAGTTTACATCTTCATTCACGGACTCAGAAGCAATAAGTATGCTAAATGTTGCTTTTCCAGATATCTGGATCTAAACATCCTCTTCCTTTATCAATCCAGAGCTGATCCAGACGGAGATGCATCACCTGCGGACGTTACGGATCATGTCTGATGTGTACAGTAAAGGCCTGCTGACAGATCTCCAGCTGGAGGGCCAGATGGTGGAGAAGATGTTTCCCATGCTGGAAGATCTCCTGGAGCTCCATTCGTTCTTCTTCAGCGCTCTGCAAGAGAGGAAGAAGGAAGGCAAGCTGGAAGGGACGGATGGATTCATAATCAACAGGATAGGAGATGTGCTGTTCAGCCTGGTGAGGACCTTTGATTATATATATTAATAAGTTTCTGTGTTTCAATTTAAGGACTTTTTGGTTTATTTGTGTACTGTGTACTTGTGTACAGTATACTGTGTTGGGTTGCCACTTAAATGTAAAACTTAGATTCTGTAGCAAAACCGGTTTTGAAGCACCTCACTATACTACACTGTTATATCATTCTTTGCTGTGATAATTTGATATACTGTACTCTTCTGCATGACACTGTTATGCTATACTATGTTATACTAAATGGTTAGAAATTTTATTTTTAAATTTACTTAAATTTACTTTTTAATATTCAAGTTACTTGCTGTCTTAAAAGTAAAAGTTGTACGATATTTAAATCCTGCAGTCATATGTTCATTGCACTTCAGTTTGCTTCTAATGGAGTTGAAACTCCAAAAACTGGAAAACTGGTAGAAATTGAGTAGAAATGATTACTCTATTATTATGGCAAGTTTAATGGATGAAAGAAAAAAAATTGTTATAGCAATGTTAGAAAAATATCTTCACAGATTCATTTATTATTTAATAGCATTTCTCAAACTAGAGTTTGTAAATTGATAAAAAAGTAAAAATAATTAAATCTTTAAAAAAAATTCAATGTAATAATTCTAAATATTATAATAAGTAATTAATACATAATTAAAAAAATCATTTTAAAATAAAAATATTTTTAACAGATATTTTACAAATATAGATTTTATAGATTAAATATTTTTTAAATGTCATTAAATATTATGTCATGTGACCATTAACCAACATCAAAAAACTGTGAATGTGCAAATGTGTTAAATTATTAAAATATTAACTTATTTATCTCAGATGATACTTCAAGTAAATATTTTAGGCCAAAGGGGTTTGGTTGATATGTAGTATAAGTATAAGTATAGTACTTATACTTATATCATAAGTATAGTAATATTACGAAGTTTGCTATACTACATTACTTGTGGGTGGTAATGTTGCGTTATATTGTGTTAAATGATATCTTATTAGCATAAAGAGGCGTTTGGTTCAGTCTGACATGCATACGTCAACTTGAATTACACAGAAGATTCATTGTTCATATCCAAGCTCCTGTTTTGATTTATGCCACATGATGTGCTTCAGTTCTCAGACTCCAATGCAGAAAACATGAAGAAAATCTATGGCAGATTTTGCAGTCGACACAGTGAAGCAGTGAACTTCTACAAGGAGCTGCACGCCAGGGACAAACACTTCCAGGCATTCATCAGGGTAAATGCCTCACTTCATTATGTTCGTGCATTTAGTGGGAAGAATGACCAAGATACCTAATGATCCTCAATGTGCTCTTGTTTCCAGAAAAAAATGAGCAGCAGTGTTGTCCGGCGTCTGGGCATCCCAGAGTGCATATTACTGGTGACTCAGCGCATAACAAAGTACCCGGTGCTTTTACAGAGAATCCTGCAGCACACCAAAGGTGAGATTTAGCTGTCAGGGGTTCTAGCGTCTTCTGCTGACCACAAAGCGATTTAGTCTTAAATCTTATTTTTAAAGAAATCAATCAGTCAATTCTTAGCAATAGTGTTTGGGCTAAATGGTTACTCTAGCAGAAAATGTATATTTTGTGGGAGCTCTAATTCATTTTGTGACCTATGTGACACAGTCTCATTTCCCCTCTCATTCCCAATAATTTTTAATAAATAGACAAAAAATAAGTAATAATTTTCTTTTTTTGGAAAGAAAAGACTTTTATTCGGCAAGGATGCATTAAATTGATCAAAATTGACTGTAAAGACATTTATAATGTTACAAAAGATTTCAGATTTAAAAAACTGTTCTTTTGAGATTATACAAAATGTTTGTTGAGCACTATATCGGCATATTAGAGTGATTTCTGAAGGATCATGTGACTCTGAAGAGTGAAGTAATAGCTGCTGTAAATTCTGTAAACTGTAAAATTCTGTAAAACGTTGATCACAGGAATAAATTACATTTTAAAATAAATATTTACATTTTAAATTGCATTTGAAAAGAAATATTTATAATCACATTCAAAAAAATTAATTGTAAGAGCAGAAAAAAACACTCATGTAAACATGTTATTTTATTTTATTTATTTATTTTTTATTATTATTTTTGTATTTATTTATTTTTATTTTATTTTTTTTACTACTGAATCATAAGATTAAAATACAAATTTCCATCAATGGTACACACAAAACATTGCTCACGTCAACATAAATAGTTTTGCATTGTTATTTGTGCTTTTAAGTAAAAACTGAACGTTTTAATGTAAAAAAAAAATAGAAAATAGAAAACAATTATACAGGATTGTAAAAATATTTCTCAATAGTGTCAATTTTTAAAAAGAAAATGCCTATTTTTTTGCTGGTACTATTCTGTATGATAGATTGAGACATCACTGGCCACTTCCGAAGGTCGTGAACTCCTCCGATTTAGTTTGTTCTCAGTGTCCTTTCCAAATACACAGAGATGATGAGATAACAAAGCAAGACAAAAATGAGACAAGCAGACACTATAAAACTGGACTTGAGCCAGAGACGCTGGCAAAAAGCAAAGTCGAGTCCTCAGTTCTCCAAAGCGACTCGCCTGTCAGTGTTTAAATAGCGCTCCAATATTTCACTTTCAGTAAACGCGCTTGTCTTACGGATGGGGCCAGTGCCGCAGTGTGTAAACATTCCACATTTACCACAAATCAATTCCAACTGTTGCACAGCCAGTCTGAAAGGCTTTTTGGTCACGTTCCCAACAAAGAGATTTTAATGTGAATTAGAGCATCAAGTATAACAAATTTCCTTTCTGGGGCAATTTGAGAAGGAGCTTATAGCTCTCAAGAGGATTTTATCCTGCCACTCTAATACTATAATGAAACAAAATGGACTGGTTTATTGTTTATAGGAATTTATTTCAATTCAATTTCATATGAACCTGTGTGTTTGTGCAGAGACCGAGAAGGATTTTGAGGACTTGACGCAGGCGCTACAGCTGGTGAAAGATATCATTGCTTCAGTGGATAATAAAGTGAACGAGCATGAGAAGAAGAAAAGGTTGAAAGAGATCTACGGCCGTACGGACAGCAAGTCCATCACGCGCATGAAGAGTGGCCAGATGTTCGCCCGAGAGGATCTGCTGCGCAGTCGCAGGCTTCTCCATGATGGTCCTCTGCAGCTGAAGAACGCTGCTGGGCGACTGAAGGGTAAAACTCTCGAATGCTGTCACTGTAAATCTTGATAGACCTCATTTCTTCAACAGTGTATAGAAGAAAACTGTCCACTTCTTACAACTTTTATATGTGGGTGATTCTTCCATTTCATAAAAATGAAACGCCTTCAGACTATGCTATCTGTGTTTGAAGATCCTATGTGCTGAAATCTGATCATGTGCTCGATCAGCCTTCAATTGAGATTACTGAGAGTTGGTAATAATGTGTGATTGTAATGGCATTTTTCACTTTTTGAGGGAAAAGTTGAATAAACCATTCAATTAAAGGGTTAGTTCACCCAAAAATGAAAATTAGGCTGCGTTTTACTCACCCCCGAGGCATCCTAGGTGTATATGACTTTCTTCTTTCAGACTAATCCAGTCGGAGTTATATTAAAAATGGTCTTTGATCTTTCAAGCTGTTTAATGGCACTCAGCGGGTGTTGCATTGCTTCAGTCCAAAAGAACTTAAATAAAAAGCGCCTATCCATAAAAAAAAAGTGTCTCACACGGCTCCGGGGGGTGAACAAAGGCCTTCTTTAGCGAATCGATGAGTTTTTGTAAGAAAAATATCCATATTCAAAACGTAATAATCACTTGAAATCTAGCTTGCACTCACTGTTGGAAACAGAAGCAGTTCCGGGGGAATGACGTATGAGGTTGGCTTTTCGCATGCGCCGCTCAGAAGTGACGCACGTGGAAGCGCAGGGGAGAGATCAAAACAAAACAACGGTCAAGAATTAGAAGTACAAAACGAGGATTTGTAAAGAAGAATGTCAGAGGATTTCGATATAAGCCAAGAGGAGACTGGTTTTCACGAGACTCACCGGCGCATGCGCAACGATGAACTCATACGTCATGCTCCCGGAACTGCTTCTGTTTACAACTGTTGGCGCAAGCTACATTAAAGTGATTATTACGTTTTGAATATGGATATTTTTCTTACAAAAAAACGCATCGATTCGCTACAGGAGGACTTTGTTCACCCCCCGGAGCCGTGTGAGACACTTTTTTTTATGGATGGGCGATTTTTATTTAAGTTCTTTTGGACTGAAGCAAAGCAAAACCCTCTGAGTGGCATTAAACAGCTTGAAAGATCAAAGACAATTTTTAATATAACTCCCGACTGGATTCGTCTGAAAGAAGAAAGTCATATACACCTAGGATGCCTCGGGGGTGAGTAAAACGCAGCCTAATTTTCATTTTTGGGTGAACTAACCCTTTAATGTTTATAAATAAAAAGAAAATCTGATCATTTTTTAGGAAAAATAATTAAAGAAACAAAATTATTATTCATTTATTTATTTACGGGGCTGTCTATTTACACTAAGTGCAAATGCCTTGTTGCCGAGGCTATTTACACTAACTCCGCCCACCAGAAAGTTATTGGTGTAGTCAACACTACAAAAGATGACCGTCAAAGCGTCTTTTTGACGCGATTGACCCAAGTTCGAATCCACCTTTTGCCGAACTTTTTTTTTTCTCCCTTTTCAAATCTCATATCACATCGGAAAGGCATTTATTTTCAATAAAAATGATGCAAATAATCAAAAGGTTGAAAATAAAGTATCGGGTAGGGTTAGGGTGGGCTTTATTGTCCCAATAAGGTGGCATTCATTTAATAATTTGAATTAAAATGATAATTTACACTCAATACATTATTATTGCATACTGTTTTATAATGCACTACTATACTGAGGCACAGATAATTGGCACTATTTGCAATCAGTAGTATAAATAGCAGAAAATCCCGCTATTTTAACAATGTAAATAGAATCTATAGCTATTTGCGCTTGGTGTAAATAGCATATCGCTAAGAAAATACTGCCACTTTCACTTCGTGTAAATAGCATATCACTATTTACATTTAGCTCAAATAGCCGCTGCCATTTATTTACTTTATCATCACAAGGAACAAAATTGTACTTTTATTTTATTTAGTTAAAAAAAAAAAAAATGTATCACTAAATCATAAGATTAAAATAAAACTTTATCAAAGGTACATACAAAATATTGCATATTTCCACATAAATAGTATTAATAAATTATGGCTCTGTATTATTTATAACATTAATGGTTCTAAATATAAAAATGTAATATTTTGGAACTTAATGTTTACTGTAACAGCAGCATCATCTTTTTTTTTTATCCTTAGATGTCCACGCACTTCTTCTTTCTGATGTCTTTTTGTTCTTCCAAGAAAAAGACCAGAAATATGTTTTTGCATCTTTGGTGAGTGATTGGATTTTGTGCTCTCTTCTTTACTAGATAGTACGTTTAAAATCAAATTGAAATCAGAACTGACATCATTAATACACAAAATGATTAATCAGTTTTGATATATGTCAGACTGAAGTCATTCAGATACAACAAAAATGCATTAGTATATGTTGAAATTTACATGAATGAAGGTTAACAAATGCTGTAGAAGTACTGTCTATTCTTAATTCATGCTAACTAATGTAGTTAACTAACAAATGAAACCTTATTGTAAAATGTTAACCATATTTTTTAATAATGCACTTTTGTCAAGTTTCTTCACGGCTTTCATCATTCATGTTTTTACAAAGCTTTTTCTTTGAAACCTCGGACATTTCTTGTTCTATTCCATGATGCACTGAGAACGAAAGTATCATCCACTGTTACTTTGGATTAGTTTCATCATGAATTTCTAAATAGACCTATGTTTTGCATTTGGAGAAACATGCGTGTTTAATTTGACCTAATGTCTGAGGAAATATTGTGTTTCTTGTAAAATGTGGCCATATGATGGTATATTAAGTTGAATACTTTGGTTTAGAGATGACTGAATACACATATTACACTACAGTGTTGATGTTTTCTCTCCTCCTCTGTTTCCCATCTCTCTCTTTCTCTCTCTGCATATTCTTCCGGCTTCACTCCGCCCTCCTCATTCTGTGTCTCACGCTTCCTCTTCTCATCAACAGGACCAGCGAGCCACCGTTATTTCCCTGCAGAAGCTGATCGTGCGAGAGGTGGCCCACGAGGAGCGCGGCCTCTTCCTCATCACCGCCGGCATCGCAAACCCCGAGATGGTGGAGGTTCACGCCAGTTCCCGAGAGGAGCGCAACACCTGGATGCAGCTCATTCAGGATGCCATGCACTCAGTGTGAGTACCAGATATTCACAGCCTTACCTTTACATCGGGGACATTCACTGCAAATGATTGAAGAAATAGCTAAAGCTGAAAACAAGATATTTGATAAGCAAAATTGCATGGGATAGTAAGAGACTGGGAGTATATTTTCTTTACTCTAATGCAAATCATTTTTTCTTGTGCCAAGCATAAATCTAAAACTAAATCTATGGTTCATTAACAAGCTGTTTTCTCATTTAAAGCATGAACCTCATTAAACTAAGAAAAGTACTTAATTATTTTCTGTGAAATAATAGTCTTTGTAGGCTTAATAGCTTATTTTTTCTTCAGTCATCTTGATTTATGGATATTTAGATAATTTACTGGAAGACAAAAATTAAAATGTTTTGCATTGTTGATCATTTTAAAACGAGTTATCTTAAAAAGTACAGATTAAAAATAATTTAAAAAATGACTAAAATATTTAATTATTAAAAATTGCAAGGGTAGTTGGATGGTATCATTCAGAAAATACCAGGAAATGTATAAAGTGAAATGTTTTGTGTGTGTGTGTGTGTTCACACAGAGAAAAGGATGATGATGAGGGGATCCCAAGTGAAACAGAGGAAGACAGGAAGCTACTTGAAACAAAAACTAAAGAAATGAGAGGTGAACAGCTTTCTTTCTGTTAGTTTAGCTCTTCACAAAACCAGTCATAAGGGTCAATAAGATGTATACATCTGAAAGCTGAATAAATAAACTTTCCATTGATGTATGGTTTGTTAGGATAGGACGATATTTGGCTGAGATACAACTATTTGAACATCTGGAATCTGAGGGTGCAGAAAAATCTAAATACTGAGAAAATCACTTTTAAAGTTGTCCAAATGAAGTTCTTAGCAATGCATATTACTAATCAAAAATTAAGTTTTGATATATTTACGGTAGGAAATTTACAAAATATCTTCATGGAACATGATCTTTACTTAATATCCGAATTATTTTTGGCATAAAAGAAAAATCAATAATTTTGACCCATACAATGTAATTTTGGCTATTGCTACAAATATACCCCAGCGACTTAAGACTGCTTTTGTGGTCCAGGGTCACATATTTCTTTTAGTATAAATGAATAATTTAAAAAAAAGTTATCAAAATTGTTTTTGTTTCGTAATGTGTGTGTGTGTGTGTGTGTGTGTGTGTATAGATATGCACTACTACTTTTTTAATGAAGCTAGAAGCATTAAAGCCACAAATAAAAATATAACTGAGGAGTTTGAGGCTGATTTGTGAGTCTTTTTGACATTAAAATGAACTGATTCAGAAGAGTTGTTGCTTATGAATCACTTGAAGTACTGTATATTGCATACAGTCAGCAAAGACAATGCAAGATAATTTTTTTATCATTTTTTTATCTTTCTCTTATTTTGTGGTTTTCTCGTCACATTCAAATTAGACTTCGAGTTAATTAAACCTGAAGATTAAAAGATAAAAATGCAGATGTTTGAGACCCTAATTATGATAAATCAGCAAATAACAAAACAACCTCCTTTCTTTCTTAGACATGCTCCAGAGGAAAGATGAACAGATCGTATCACTCCTTCTGGAGAAGATGAAGCTTTTCCGTGAAATGTGCGGTTCGTCCGACGACACGGCTTCGGCGGTCAAAATGCTCTTCAGGACCAACAACGAGGACATCCTCAAGGGGGAACCCATCATGATGGACGCTCTCAGAGAGGGTAAGAAATGCCGCCAGCGTCTTCAGCTGCTCCCCACCTGTTGTCTGGAAGCTGAATTTGTTAGTTATTTGTGTTTAGTGGCAGCTGTGGCAACATCTCATTTCCAGCTCTAATGTTCTTCCAGGACTAGTAACTCACTTAATGTAATGCGGTTAGTGACGTGCGTGTGTGTGTTTATGTGGCAGTGGAGATGTTGCAGGCGCTGGTGAACAGCAGTCTGGGAGGGGCGGTGGGACAGCAGGTGGCCTGCGCTCCGGGGAACATGGGACCCGTGTGTCTGCCACGCAGAGCCGAGACCTTCGGAGGGTTTGACAGCCACCAGATGAACATCTGCAAACGTGAGACTTTTCATGTACTTCATGTGTCTATTCAGGCAGTATAGCTTGCAAAACAACTTTATGTACCTCTTTTACGAAGTTATTTTTTTCTTCGTTTCATTCACAAAACGTTGTAAATCTTCTGTATGTAAAGCACAGTTACTGATTCGATCCTGCTCACAGTCATTGTGTTTGTGTGTGTGTAGATGGTGACAAAGAGGAAGCTGAAGATCTTCGGAGGACAGAATCTGACAGTGTACTGAAGAAGGTAGGAAGCCTATAAGAAATTAGCTTTAGGCCAAGCTAACACAATATTACCAAGTTAGTATTCAAATTTATGTTAGTTATTCTGAACGTATAAATATAAATCCTGAATATTTAAGTTGAGTAGTTTGAGTAGTTGTTTCAGTACATATTCAAATATACCGATGTCAGTCTTGGATATGTCATTGTAAATCTGATTATTTATAATTCTAGTATATTAATGTAATGAATATGGATGTTATAATATTAATAAATTAATATATGTATGTGTGTGTATATACAATACTGTAAACAAAGGTTTGGGGCCAAGATTTTTTATTTTGGAAAAAAATTAATACATTTATTCAGCACGCACACATTAACTTCATAAAAAATGACAATGAAGACACTGAAGATATTGAAGAATCATTTTTAATTATGTTCTTTTGAAGTTTCTGTTCATCAAAGAACCCTTAAATAGTAATTAAATAATATTATATACTGTCATATAAACATATATTATACTGTTTTCAACATAAAAAAAAATGTTTCCTTAGTGCCAAATTGTCGTATTAGAATGATTTCTGAAGGATCATGTGACACTGAAGACTGCACTCTAAAAAATGCTGGGTTAAATACAACCCAGTGCTGGGTAAAATAGGGACAAACCCAGCAATTGGGTTGTTTTGACCCAGCGGTTGGGTTACTACCCAGAAGGCTGGGTCAAAACAGCCCAATTGCTGGGTTTGTCCCTATTTTACCCAGCACTGGGTTGTATTTAACCCACCATTTTTTAGAGTGTGGAGTAATGATGCTGAAAATTCAGCTTTGCATCACATTTCAATAGAAAAGTTTTTTTTAATTATAATATTTCCTATTGCTGTTATTACTGTATTTTTGATCAAATAAATGCATGTTAAGAATAAGATACTTTCAAATTTTTTATTTTTTTTATTTTTACCACCCCAAACTTTTGAACGGTAATGCTATACATTTATAAATATAAATATCTCACTGAAGTCTCACTATGTAAGCTGTTGAGTCTGAACAAAGGCATTTTCTGTTTTAATGGATTCATATAAATCACATATATGAAGAACTAATCTAAATATTAATCGGGTGTATTAATTAATTTTAATATCCTCACACTTTAGTAGGATTGTTGCTTATCTGTTTTTAAGTTGATGCAACTGAAAGCTTGCTGGTTTTAAATTCATTGTTTTACATATTCTGCCACAGCTTTGTTTACACAACATCCAGGTGAAAGGCATGGCGTTAAAAAGTGAATGAATAAATAAATCAGTAACATCCAAGTGAAATCGGCACTCTTAAAAATAGTGTGATTTATTTTTCTTAAATATTCCTTTCTAATGACTGCTGTGCTTCTGTTCTAAATAAAAGTGACACAATGACTATAACCGCTTGTTTTCCCAGTGTATGTCAGCATATATTTATTCAAATATTTTAAAACAACATTAAAGCAGTTTATCCCAATAAACAGACCCAAACTGAGTCACACTGCACCCCAGTGTCATGTAGTGTTTACTACATGTCAGGTTTTGTAGCTAATGGGAGACATTAGGGCAGCGAGTGGAAAATGAATAAGCGTGCATTAGGAGCGCCCAGCATCGGCTGACTCTGTAATGTGTGTAATGAACAGCGGTGTGCTGGGCTCAGGCCTGCGCTCGCTCTGTCTGGTGCTGGGCTAATTAAACACTCCCAGCTGGACTCAGTAAAGCTGCAGTCTCTGCTTGTCTGCTCCACAGGGAGGAAACGCCAACCTACCGCTCCTGCTGAAGACAAACAGCGAGGTAAGACAGGAGAGCATGCTTATTTTAGAGTTCAGGGTGTTATCCTTCAGCGCTCCTTGGGGCTGTGGATGACGCTTTTAGCTTGCAGAACTGGGAAAGAATTAAAGTGTACTTGGGTAACATGTAACAGATGATGTAAGTCAATTGTGACAACTGTTCTGTAAAACATTTTGAACATGATTCCTTGAATAAGTGTTAGATATTATCACTTTTTGCTTGCTTTTTTGAGATGGAGACAAATGACCATCTTTCTTGATGGCTTGTGTTTCCTGACAGCAGATCCTGACTAGTGTCACTCACCTTCATGACCTCCTCAGCTCACTTCAGGTGTGTATTTCACAGTCGATATTATACTGTATGTGCTGATGTGCCAAACAAGAATTCCAAAATACAGTAAAAAAGATAAAAAAATATTAAAAAGCAGTAAAAACTGTAATAGTGAAATATTATGATGTATAGTGATGCAAAGCTGAATTTTCAGTATCGTTCCTCCAGTCTTCAGTGTCACATGATTCTTCAGAAATCATTCTAATATGCTGATTTGCTGCTCAATTCTTATTATAATTAATGTTGAAGACATGTGTGCTGTATAATATTAAAACAAAGTTCAAAAGAAGAGCATTTATATGAAATTGCTTTTTTGTAACATTATAGATCTTTACTGTCACTTTTGATCTTGCGTATAATTTTTTTCAAAAATCGCGCGTGTTGTGAATGAATAAATGACATATATAATGTAACAAATGAATGTAATGTATAGTTAGAACCTTTTTACTTTTTAATGCATTCTCAATATTATAGATATTTATTCTGATCATATTGATAAATCTGAATATGTATTTTCAAATTCTACTATTTCAGCATAATATGCACATGTATTTTTTATGTGTATATATATATATAATAAATAGTTATAAATCTTAACATATAGATGTAAATCCTGAGTATATCTTGTAAATCTGAATATATATTTGTAAATCAAAGTATATTTACTAGGGGAAGTCGTGGCCTAATGGTTAGAGAGTCGGACTCATAACCCAAAGGTTGTGGGTTTGAGTCTCGTACCGGCAGGGATTGTAGGTGGGGGGAGTGAATGTACAGCGCTCTCTCCCACCTTCAATACCACGACTGAGGTGCCCTTGAGCAAGGCACCATACTTGGCCACATGTCACGTCACTATATAAATTCTAATTCTGAAATACTCAGATTTGTTATGCTTATTTCCAGTTATGGCCCCTATATTGACATCCATCCCGTATAATGCCGAATCAAACAGGACAATAATACAATATTACTGTGTGTGTGTATATATATATATATATATATATATATATATACACACATACATGCATGCATACATATAATATATACATATACATATATATATATATATATATATATATATATATATATGTATGCATGTATGTGTGTGTGTGTGTGTCTATTTGAATATAATAATTTAAATGATTTTGTTCTTGTTTCCTGCCCCTCATACTATATATGTGTATAAACAATGTCTTGTTCTAAATGGTTAATATATGGATTTTGTTTACAGGCCGTAGTGCTGCAGCAGGACACTTTTATCGAGGACCAGCGTCAGGCCCTGAGCGAGCGCACCCCGTCCCGCTCCTCCTCTCGTCCCCCCTCGCTGGTGGAGCAGGAGAAACAGCGTAGCTTGGAGCGGCACCGACAGGAGGCCGCCGCTCTACAGCGCCAGCAGGCCGCCCACGCCGAAGAGAAGCGGCGCAAGGAAAAAGAGTGGGATGTGAAGGAGCAGGAGCTGACGGACCGCGAGGTGCTGCTGCACGTGAAGGAGGAGGAGATGCGCAGGAGGAACAAAGAGCTGGAGGAGGCGCAGCAGGGGCTGCAGGGAAGGAAGGAGGACTATCAGAGGGATCTAGAGAGACTGAGGGATGCTCAGAGGAGGCTGGAGAGGGAGAGGGAGCAGCTGCAGAGGGAGGCGGAGAGAGTGGAGCACCTCCGTGAGGTGGAGGTGAGTCTTCAACTGCACATTGAAGAACGTTTTGTGCATTACTTATTACTGTAACTCATTCACAATATTAATTCACTCAGAAGAGAGAGCCGAAGGTCATCATCTTTCTTTATGCAGTATTTTATTGAGTATGCTTCTCTCTTTGGCATTAAGAGCATTCAGACACGTTAGAAATAGTTTGAGACAGTCACATTTATCAAATGACTGTGTATGACTGAATAAAATGGGATGAATTATGTAATGTCTAGTTTTAAACTTGACGTACAGATGTTTGACTACTGAAATAGCATCTTGTTCACATTTTATTGTGAGAGAAAAACTTGCATGCTAGAAAATATCACAAATTAGGGATGCAGAATACATTGGTACTGTATCAGTTATTGGACAATATTAGAGTTTTTTTTAACTTTAGAAACACCGATAATAGCACTGTTATATGTAATCATTAGCAAATTTCTAAATACATATCCATTTTTCTTACAATGCATTTTGATGCGGACTAATAAATAATACATATATATATTATAATGGGGAAAATATACTACAGTTCAAAAGTATGAGATCTTAAGAATTTTTAATGTTTATGTTTATGAACATAATGCTTATGTTCAGCAAAGCTGCATTTATTTGATAAAAAATACAGTAAAAACAGTAAAATTGTGAAATATTACTACAAATTAAAATATCTGTTATCTATTTTAATGTTTTAAAATGTAATTTATTCCTGTGATGCATTCCTGCATTTTCAGCATCATTAATCCAGTCTTCAGAGTCACATGATCCTGCACACATGATTCTTTTTTGTTACATGGAAAATAACAGCATTAATTTGAAATAGACATATTTTTGTGAAAATCTATTGGCTTCTTGCTGATTAAAATAATGAATTTATTCTACAAAAAAAAACTTACTGCCCCCAATTGTATATAATATTATTTTACATTTATTTAGTCGAAATAGTATAGAAATTTAATATTGGCCATTTATATATTTTCTGCCGTAACATGAATAATAATAATTATTGGCTTATCAATATCTGCCCAAATTTTTATATTCCGTTACATATACGTTCTTCAAATAATAGTTTTGAATATTAATGTATAATATAATTAATGACGAGTTCCAAGCATACAGAACATGAATGTGTTTTGCACCTCAACGTAACTTTTTATTTTATTTTTCTTCCACAGGCTCGGCTTCAGCGCACACCCTCCAGCACATCAGAGGACTCCCTGAAGCTCCAGAGCAGCAGCTCCATCGAGCGAGAGATCTTGGAGGGCGAGTTATCGTCCAGCCCCAGGAAGAACTCTCTGTCCAGGATGGACTCCAAACAGAAGGGCCGCAGCCTCTTCTCCCTGGGCGGCAAAACTCAGAGCTTAGAAGGACAACACCAGATCCCCACACGACTGCTTCAGCTGGCTTCATCCAAGGAGAAGAAGGACAAAAAGAAGAAGAAGAGCAAGAGCCAGCCTCCTCAGGATGCAGGTGAACACAGTGAACACACACACATGTTAATTCAATAGAGATAATGATAAAGAATTGATTCAATTAGCCTGCAAACCACAACCGCCGTATCCGTTCTGACTGGAATTGGTGGTAAGTTCTCTGTCGCAGAACGTCACATGTTTCCAGAAGGAAGGGTTTTGCTTTTGAAGGTCTAATAGGATTTTTGATCTGAGTCGTGTGTTATGTATCAATCTCAGATGTTTATTACACTGAGAAAGATGTCTGTATTTCTTCCTCAAATCTTGCTGTTTTTTTGTCTCCAGCATCACATCTGCTGCCCCTGACAGAGCCTTCAATGGACGGGGAGATCTTCTTCTGCTGATTTACCCATCATCCCTTCTGTCCACATCATTCCCGTTCATGGACTCTCTATCAAATCATGTAGGAAGTCACCCAAAGTGCCCTCTTCACATTTTGGCAATCGTTCTACAATATAATAAATCTCACAGACACAGAACATGTCCAGGTTGCATTACACCCCAAAATCAAAAGAAAAATGAAAAATAATATTTTGCCTAACCCAAATCAATACTATTCTAGAATTGTTTTTATTTTTTGTGACATTATTTTAATAACAATTTAGCCCCCAAATTTTCATTACCGTAATGTATAAATAGTAGTAATATATTATTTCAATTGTAAAGTATTTATATACTACGGTAAATGTTTTTCTGCTTTTAAATAGTGTTTTATTACAGTAGTTTTTGCTGTAATAAAGTTTTCTCCATCACAGTAATGAGAATAACCATTGGGAATAATAATTAGTGATTATTATAAAAATAAAAAAAACCTCGTGTTGCATAATGGTAATGTGAATATATATATATATATATATATATATATATATATACCCATTACCATTATGCATCACGATTTGTTTCCCCAGACAACATATCGCTACAAAATAAAATCTTATATTTGCACTTGCTTTCAAATGTTTATCAGACAAATCCCATCTTTGAATACTTGTTAAAATGTGCATTGTATATAAATTTCAATTACTGCACTCATTTACAAATGAACTGTGCCACCAAAAACGTTCAAAATACAAAACTGGGGATTGTTGCTCCCCCTATTGGCCAACTTTTTTAGGCTGAAAAATCATTTCGGCTTATTGCGCACAAGAATGACTATTTACAATTTAATCACGGTTTTAACATTTAAACGGATTCGGGGCAAGAGGTGGTTTTCCGTTTCCCCCATGTTTTCTACTTTAGCTTCTCGAAGGAGTCCCGTCTTTGAAATGCCACCGAGCACTTTAACACCATTCACACGTTACCCTTGCCCCTATAATGACAATCAATTTTTCATTAGCATTCCAAAGATAAAGCCCTAAGGACAGTTTTTGGGGGCCATTGTATAACATACCATGGCATTTCATGCTAGTTTGAGATTCTCTAATCCTGCGTTGAATTCTTCATGACTTTAGCAGGACGGATGAGCTGTAAATACTGTATGAACTGTAGACACCTGAGGGATATTTAAAGCAACCTGCTGGACAGGTAAAAGAGATTAACATCCACGCAGGATAGTGTACCTCACCTATACATCCACCCTTATGGATCAAAAGCACCATATCATATCTAAATATCAATAATAATACAATTAACACCGTTTTTGCACTCAAAGTTGTCCACCTATTTCATCACGCGTGAATATTCACCTTGCAATCCTACAGGATTTTGTTCAGCTAGACATTCTGTTGGCTTGATTTTGAGTTATTTATTGTTCAATGAGAATTTTAATTGTAATTTTTTTAAGCAGTACATGCTCTTAAAGTCTCATTTGTGCAGGTTTGCGTTGCAGCTTTCACCTGCGCTGACTTGATTCCGCCATGAGGGAGCAGTAGAGAAGCGTTTTATAATTGAAGGCTCCTCTGTGGTTTTACATAACCTCTCAGTGATGATGTCAGAGGAGACACAGTGATGCAGTGCAGGAATTATTATTTCTTCACATGCACAAAGGGAATCATTGGTTCGTCATTTAAGGAAAACGGTGCCTATGGCCTTACAGAACTGTCAGCGACACATGTCCTCAGGAACAAACAAGGAAAACTCAATCCAGGCGGTATACGCATTGTTGCCGTCTCTCATGCGTAAATGTAAACTTAAGTTGCTTAGCCTTAAAGAAATGATGGTGTGCACTAAAATATAACCCAGCATTTTCTCAGGAGTATAGGTTAGTTTTATCATCTTTGTTTTGAAAGCAAGGTTTCATTTGTACATTGAGGTACATACATTTTCTTGCTTAAAAAAGGAAGAATTAATATTATGTAAATATTTTGTGTAACATGTTTAAATGTAAAATTCTGAAAATGTTTAATTTGTGATTAATTTTGTAAAATGTGTTTTGTGAGACGTAAGGCTTTATTTATCAGTGATCCCCTTGTGTAAGAAGACGATATTTCCTCACATTAAAAGCTGTTGCAATTTTTTTGGGCTTGTATTGTTTTCTCTCTCTCTCTCTCTCTCTCTCTCTCTCTCTCTCTCTTTTTTATTCTGTCCATTGAACTGCAGGTTATTGTATGTTTCATTCAAATTCACTGGACAAATAGATCAAGGCTACCTTTTCCTTTTAAAAAGATTAAAGCATTTTAAAGAAATTGCCACTGTAGAATCAAGTATAAGCAGAACCTTTGATCTGTCATCTTCATGTAGTCTGCAATATGACTCCACTATAACCTCTAACTGATGGACAGAGATTAGATATGAGTTGGGTCATTTCTACTTTTCATGTCCCTCATCATCACGTGTCTTAATATACTGGAAAAAATATTAAACTTAATTTCAAAATTCTTAAAGGGGTCATATGTTGCTAAAAATAACATTATTTTGTGTATTTGGTGTAATAACGAAACACACGGCAGGCTTGAGTGAACGGAGGCTGGCGGATTCGATGAAGGAGCGTCCGGCGGGCTTGCGGCAACCACATGTGA